AATTAAAATTATAATTTACACTCAATACGTTATTATTGCATACTGTTTTATAATGTACTACAATACTGAAGTGCAGATCATTGAAATCCTGCTATTTTAACATAGTGTAAATAGGTATTTGCACTTAGTGTAAATAGCATATTGCTAAAAATACTGCTATTTTCACTTAGTGTAAATAGAATCCATTTCTAATACGAGATTTGAAAAGGGAGGGAAAAAAAAAAGTTTGGCAAAAGGCGGAATCGAACCCGGGTCGATCGTGTCAAATAGCCAATGACACACGCTTATTCATCTGCACCACTGGAGCTGATGATTTACAGCCACTTTTAACTAAATTTAAATAGACACCCCGTATTTTTTATTCCATAGTAAGGGCGCGATCGACCCGCGATTGATACATACAATACATTTAAACTGAGCTACTTTAATACCATCTCCGAACTTTGTACCACGACTCTGCTGTTCTTCGGCTGGTTCTTCCTGTATATGTTGATTGACAGATGTCTCGTCCAGTCAGCGGTGAGTAATCCCAAACCAATGGCGCTGTCTCAAACTATACCTACCTTTTCCGGTTTGTCTGATTTGTCGTTGTGTTTTCTGACTTGTTAATTTGTTTTCGGATTTGTCGTTGTGTTTTCTGACTTGTTATTTTGTTTTCGAATTTGTCATTGTGTTTTCTGACTTGTTATAATGTTTTCTGAATTGTTGTTGTGCTTTCTGAATTGTTATTTTGTTTTTTAGACTTGCATTTGCGTTTGTAATTTGTTATTTTGTTTTCAGAATTGTGATTTGCTCTGCACTTCTCGGCCACCGTAGTTAACTAAAACTAAAACTGAAACTAAAATGAAAACCTTTACCTTTAAATTGAGACTCCAGGACGGGGGCAGGCTTGAGTGCAAGGAAAAGCTTCTTAGCGTATTTGCTAAGAGCGCCACTCTTATCAGTGGGCACAATGAGTTGGCGGATAAATCGGGCACGATCTCTGATGTCATAGTTTTGATCGTATTTCGCCAGGTTCAGTACATACTGCGTCAACAGTTTAGTCTGAAAGACAGAAAAGAAAAGAAATACACAAAGGAATGTAATTCTCAAGAGTTTCATGCCTGACAGGCAACGTACTTGTGTGCATCTAAATAATATGATATGCAGACAGAGATTGTCTCGCTTGATTAAACAATGACTCATGTTGGGTTTCCCCAGCTTTCATCCAGACTGATACACTGATCGCAGGGTTATAATAGTTCATTCATTTTAATTGATGTACTAAAATAATTACAACTAAAATATAAAAAATAATGATAAAAATGAAAAGAAATTAGTATGCATGAAAATTAACTCAAAAATACATTTATTATACATTTCAGTTGTGTCCCCAGGTTTATTCTATATTGTCCTGTCCACCACAACAATGTCTTTAAGCTGTTTTAACGGGATTTCAGAGGTTTTCATAAAGCTTCAGCTATATTCAAACATTGTTTTGAAAAATACTGCATTAGATTACCTTAAACATCTTAAAACTAGCTTTTCAGCCATTTTAATGCGAAAACCAGCACAATTCCAAAACAGCACCGATGGGCGTGGAGATTTCTGCGGGTAATTTACTAACAACGCATAAATTAAAGAACATAGACGCAACATCTCATTTATATATCAGCCAACGCAATATACCAAGCGCAGTGCAAATTAGTTGCAAATAAAGTGATTTCAGAGGTTTTCATAAAGCTTCAGCTATATTAAAACATTGTTTTGAAAAATACTGCATTAGATTACCTTAAACATCTTAAAACTAGCTTTTCAGCCATTTTAATGCGAAAACCTCAGATTTCAGTGGGTTCTACCCGTTTATTTTCTTGCTTGCTTTCATTTATGAGTTTCGTCATGTTGCATAATGCAAGGCAGCTTGCTTACTGCTAATGTACTTTGCATCATTTATCCTAGTATGTTAAACACCAGTTAACAGCATACAAACAAGCTAATGTGATGCGTACAGTCACTTCAGCACAGGGTTATCAATAACTAAAACTATTAAAAACATTTCCGTTAACTGAAATAAAGCTAAAATAAAATATAAATATTAGATGGAAAAACTAAGCGAAACTTGCCTTGGGCAGTAATTGAAGTAAGATTAAGTTCAAGCACTAAAATTATAAACATGAGCACATAAAATCACTAAAATTAAACTGAAAACTGAAAATATAAAAATACAAGCTAATTCAAAACATTAATAAAAAAATATATATATTTTAATAATAAATAATATTAAGTAACACTGCTTTTTTGTAAAACTGGCCATAACCATGTCTGTCGCCTCACCTGTTTTATAAAAAATAAAAAATGTAATATTTTTATTAAATTTAATAAAAAAAAGAATAAAAAAATGAAGAAGCCACAGTACATTGAATAGAACTGGAGGCCAAAAGATGAAGAGTTGCTAGAAGCTTTGATAAACCTGGTATTGCGTGACTCCTAGTTGAGGGTTCCAAGTCGTCTTTTATTTCCTGAAGCAAATAAAAAATAACGGCTTGGCAAACGATATGTTCGGATAATGTGTTCTTCTGGCAATCCAAATAAATTAATATGTGTGGAAAAAATCCTCTCCCTTCTACCGCGAGCTCTCTGTTCTCTGCCGTGCCTCCTCCTAGCAACAATAATTGCAGCCATTTCAAATACCAGTAATTTGACGAGCGCAAACGTTAGTAAATCATTCCTTTTAATACTCTTCTCCTATAAATTTTGCATCTGAAAGGGAATCTCCTACAAAAGCATATTCGATAAGATCAGGTGCAAAAATAACTGTGTCCACGCCTTTTCAGCGCTAATTCGTCACTGCGCGTCTTTAGTAAATCCTGACAATACTATTTTAACACCAAAAGACGGTTTGCGCTGGCACAATCTGTTAGTAAAACTGGCCCTTAATTTGTAAAAATTTTAAATAAATTGTTTTTGGTCAAATAAATGCAACCTTGGTCAGCATAAGAGATTTCTTTCAAAAACATAAAAAAATCTTCTGAATGGTATATTGCAAAAAACGACATTAAATTATATTAAAGTTTATTCTATTCTATTCTATGAACACTGTAAGAACAGCACATGTAAAATAGTACCTGAAATTCTCTCAGGATGGTGGAGATGTTCGTCTCATTAGCCAAATTCGTCAAAACCTCCAGCTGTGTTAATAAGAGAAAATAAAATCATCAGTCCTACTTTAAAACACTCAAAACTAACTGAATCAACATTCTTTGGTGAAAACCATTAATAACACAGTTAAGCATTTTTGTTCACCTTGAGGATTTTGATCTGCGTTGGGTCCGTGGAGCGAATATAAAAACTCTTCAGATACGGCTCAAACATTCCCTAAAAGACAAAAACACACATATTAAAACATCAGAGCGTTCATATAAACAGAACACCTTCTGCATAAAAACATTTTTAATACTGACTGAATTTTTCTGTTCTATTATGCCTTTACAGAAAAGCTTTTAAAAATCAGAAATCTCTCAAGGACAAACCACTAAATGTATAAAAAGCAAAACCACAAGAAAGTTTTCAGTTTAAATATTGAATCATAAAATATTAAAAGGAGCAAAGCTGCTCAATGCACTGAACTATATGGAGCAAAACATCAAGCTCCAGCATTCTGATCAAGCGCTGTAACATGATCCTCAAAGATCAAACTGTTTAAACCTTGACCCTGTTTGTCGACCTTTCCAGTCACACTTAATGCATAAAATTTGTCAAACACAATGTCAGAAGTATGTACATAATACATAAGCATCATATTATGTCAATGTGATTGCGATCTGCAGCGTTTTTCAAGTGGAAGTCAAAGTTAATACGCATGTGCTTTTACACTTTTATGTGAATCACTCACTCGTCTCTTGATGGTCATCGTGGCCACGTTTTGAAGCACGACATACTGCACTTCACTACAGAGAAACAAAACACACAACAACATCATGAAGATGTTTATCATTCAAAACCCTTATAAGGTATTTGAGAGGGAAAGCCATATTTTCCTAAAGAGGCTAAATGGAGAGATGCATGTGAATAATGGATGCTGTTTACGGTCTGAGCATCTCTCTATCTGCAGCTAATGCCAAATTCTGTGTGAGAATTGCAGTGACATCATCTAGTGCTGTTTCGCCTGTATTGACTAATGATGTCATCAGACAATGACCAGCCTTGCATCATTAAACAGAGAGACTTCACGCTGCGTCACACTTTCGGGAACGCTTGAAGAAAAACCTCAGGAAGCATGTTTGTGAGTGCGTTTATGCTTCATTAGTAAGTGACTGATTACTCACCTGTGGCTGCGCATTAACCTGACCAAAGCCTTAGCAATGATGCCCACCTCTGCTTTAGGAGCCAAATGGAAGTACAGCTGAGCTACTGCCATCACCACCTGCAGAGACAGAGAGAGAGGACCATTATGAGATGGTTACAGCTAAATGAACACCATTTTTTTTTTTAGAGGTCAAGTGTGAACAGGTCCCATTGTCATAATGCTGGCAAATCAGCTTCAGCACTTTGTCAACGTAAATACTGATGGTATGTGTGAACAAGGGTTTACATTTTTTTTTAAACTAACCTAATAATTATAAAAACTGACACTAAACTAAAATACATCTTAATAATAAAACTAATTAAAATAGTAATAGCAAAAGCTATCAAAATAATTGGAAAAAAGGACATTAAACTAAAATATATTTTAATAAGTCAAAAAATAAATAAAATAAAAACAACCATGCATTTAATCATAATTATAACAATAATTATAAATAAATAAACAAACAAACACATAACCAAATAATGGGAAAAAAACTGACACTAAACTAAATTACATTCATAATTCCAAAACAAATTGAAATAAATAACCCATGAATTTAATGATAACAAACACTAACAGAATAACTGGAAACAAATAAACAAAAAAGGCAGTAAACTAAAATTGCAAAATTTTCAAAAATAAAATAAAAACAACCATACATTTATTAATTAAAAACAACAACAACAACAATAAAAACACTAATTGGAAAAATAATTGGAAAAACCTCCAAATATAAATTGAAAACCTGAACAAAAATACATTTTCATGACTCATGAAATCAAATCTTAACGTTTATGCATCTGGAATACACCTTTATCCAAAGCAATTTTATGTACATTTAGTTTCAGTTTTTGATGCACATTCATTTTTTGTTCATTCACATTATGTACACAAGTGGATATTAATATAAAGAATAATCGCTGTTTTAAACAGGGTTGTGCTTCATTTACAACTGAATTGACAATGCCTCTTAAATTCCAATTAAATTCTTGAATTTGAATTACATTTAAATTGAGGAGGCAAACTGAATGCAGAATTGTAATTGAAATTGAATTGAAAAAAGTCTTAGCAATACTTTAAATAATAATACTAATAATAATTCTAGATATCAGGGAATAAATTAAAAAGTAATTAGTCTAAAATTAATGACTGGATTAATGTCATTCCAAATGTCAATTCAATTCAAATTCAGTTCATTCTTACATTCATCATTTTGCCTAAATATAATTAGTGAAATATTCTATATTTAGAATATACAAAATAAATAATTCTGTTTCTAAATGCTAATTAGTTTGTAATCAAGCAAAAGCAGAATTGTGTGTGTGTGTGTCTCACAGCAGCGTTGCGGCTCTGTAGCAGGGGTTTGGTGTTCCTCAGCAGGAGTCTGTGATCAGGGTCCATCACGTACGGCTTCCTCTTCGCTAGAGCGGCCGCCTCGGCTTTCTTATCTTCATCTTCCTCATCATCAGAGGCGTAGAAGGCCTTCTCGCTGCTGTCCTCCAACAGAGATTCCTGCACATACACACACGTTAAGAGTGGAAATGTCCTATCTATGGAGCTATCAGTATATATGTTTGTTTGTTCAAGTGAGTCTATATTTGGCACATGTAAATATTGCCACTTTCTTTACTTAGCCTACGTTTCTTACTTTTATGTTATATGTTTGGTCCATGGGATTCTGTATTTGGCACATGTAAACATCGTCACATTCTTTACTTGCATAATAATAAAAAAAAAAAAGTGGAAATGTCCTCCTGGGATACACATGCATGTGTGTGATACTCACGTTGATGTTGGGGTTGAGGAACTGCGTCCTGGCGTAGCGCGTGAGCATGTTGATGATGACCACCTGACCCCACTCCTCCACGTCAATCAACAGGTTACACAGCTTACGGTAATTCTTATGGATCAGATCGATGCGGTCCGGACACACTTCCTCAAACGCCATCACCACACTGCCTGCTACCAGCTACACACACACACACACACACACACACACGTCAGGAATGATGATCATATCTCAGGACTGACCAGAAAAGATTCTGTCACTCACTGTGGTTTTATCAGCCAGCAGCTTCTCGATGACTTCAATCAACTGATCTTTCTGTTCTGGATCCAGACTGAAAGAAGAGAGAGAGAAATGGCCATCAGCCCCTGCAACCTGTGAATTTGTTTTACTTTTACTGAATATTAAAGTAGTCAAACTAAAAGCTAGAATGCTAAGAAAACTTACCATACAGCTGTCTGAAATACTTAATTGTAATTGGTCAATTGCATTTATGTGGTCAAACATTGTTACATAATGAGCACTTAGTCACTATATTTCCTAGATTTATATCAATCACATAATTCCATGCTTTTTGTACATAAATTATTTCATTCCAAATAAATATTTAATGACTATTTATTTATTTATTGTTTTGCTAGTGGGATATTTAAGGATACACAAAGTTCTTTATCATCCTCTTGAGATTGACTTGAAAAAGTGACTATACATTTTTACATTCTTAACTACATATTTAAGATTAACAAACACGTTTATAAATATATATAAAATAATAAAGTTTTTATCTAAAATTGTACAAATTTATATTTATATAAAATACAGATTTATATATTATATTACATTACACAAAATTTATTTTTATATTATTTATATAATAAACATTTTTTTAAATAATATTTTTATATATTTTATTTTTATTAAATGTTTTTAAATAATATTTATTTTTACCATATACTAGCTTTCAAAAGTTTGTAAGAATTTATTATTTGAAGAAATTAATGTGTTTATTCAGAAAAGATGCATTAAATCGATCAAAAGTGACAAAACGTGATAAACAAAACAAACATTTTCAAAAGGATCATGTGACACTGAAGACTGGAGTAATGGCTGCTGAAAATTCAGCTTTGCATCAAAGGGATAAATTATATTTTAAAATATATTTAAATACAAAACAGTTACTTTAAATTGCAATAATATTTCACACTACTACTTTTTTTAACTGTATTTTTTATCAAATAAATGCAGTCTTGTGAGCAAAAGAAACTTTAAAAAACTGTAAAAACTAAAAAAAAAGACCCCTTTTGGCAGTGTAATTAAAGGTAGGGTAGGCGATTTCGGAAAGGCTAGCAATAGCATGTTAGCTTTAAAAGCAAGATCCCCACCCTCCCTGCATAATCACTCTGCAAAGCCACACCTCCTCAAAAACACACGAACGCGCTCCGCCAGAGCTAACCAGCGATACGATGAGAGACGGCGTTGGTGGAGGATTGAATGCAACGCTGTCAGATTACCTCACGTCTCATTCACCACTGAGAAAATATTACAATACAAACGCATAATATTACAATAACAGCTCCTTTTAATCTCGATGGAACACACTGATAATCATGTCTGGGTGAACAGGGTGCACAGAGGTATCCAAATGCATATTTTGACAGGCAGGTAGGACAGCTTATCATAATGTTCGGACCGAACATTTTGATTGGACAAACCTTTTATGGTCCTATGGTTTCCACAAATGATATAAATACATATAAATACATTTAGACCACTTAACTTAGTGATTGCTGTCGGGATGTGAAGAGACTTTCAACCAGCATAACAAAAAATGTTTTTGAACCAAATCACCTACCCTGCCATTAAATTAAAAACATGGTAATAAACGGCAGTATTATCTAAATGAACAATTAATTACTCCCAATGGCGGATTTGTGCTCAGACCAGACACTTGCTTTACTGTACCTGTGTAGTTTGGGTATGGCATGAGCTGCGGTCTTGCGGACGTATGGAGACATGTCAGATGCCGCCTCTTTGATGGCTAACATCATGATGGGCACGATGATGGTCACTCTGATGCTGGACAGCACACGCAGGGCGCTCGCACGGATCAGCTGGTTGGGGTCCTGAATCAGGGGTTACAATGATTCAGAGAATTATTTATTTAGAAACCGATGCTTCAATAATGTGACTTCACACAGCAGAATTAAAGGGTGTGAGAGGTATTTCCTTTATGTGAACACTAGAGGGCATTTATGACACTTATGACACATATGACACTTTTGCACCATTTTGAGCATTTACTGAGCATTTAGCTGCATCACTATTAGCATATTCTCCATACTATGTACTATGTGCTGTAGGTTTGTATTTGAGAGTGCCTCTCCAATCAAAGTACACAGGGAACATGAATGGAATACCATTTCCAGATTCTAGCAATATGCATTTCATTTATGGTTTAGTGTTTCCCAAATCCTCTTGCAATGTGGAAGAGGTTTGTAACAGTTCTCCATTGAGCTCCAATCGAACAAAACGATTAGAAAACCACAGAAGCTTTAAATATATGAACCTAAAAGTAATCATGAATTGTAAGGTGAGGGGGAAAAGCAAACTGTATGCAAGGTCTGTGGTATCAAAATACAACTTTATGATGTAATAATCTTACTACATACTCAAAAGTACAGTAGCACTTTACATCACCAGCAAAGTACAAAGTGCAGTTTTATTGTTAATTAAAACTAAACCTATTTAAACATTTTTCTTATTTTAAATAAAGCCGAAATAAAACGATAAATTTCAACAATTTGTAACATTAAATGTTTGTTAAAATTTGTAACATTAAATGTTTTATATCTATACATATTATGAATATATATATATATATATATATATATATTGTGTGTTTGATTGGTCCAGACGCTACAACGTACTCAAAAGTACATTATGCACTTTTAATACAAAGTATGCAAACAGGAGTGCAGCCTTTTCTTAAGTTTTGGATGTTGTAAAAGAGATCAGAGAGGATGAAGAGATTTTTTAGGATGAAGCAGCATGTTTAGACCCTGAATAATGTGTTTGTGTGTGTTTTAGGACCTTCAGTCCTCTCTGGAAGGTGGAAATGGACAACAGAGCGAGATCCTGCTGTTCTTCAGCGTAGCGGACAAGATACACATACACCAGCTTCTTCACCTGAGAGAGAAAACACACGTCACTGTAAACTCACAAACCACACACACTAACAGAGGGGTGAATAGAGCTCTGATCGGCTGTTTAATGCATTTTTGTGACTCAGCACTTGAGCGTACGGTGACTCATGAGCAGAACCTCATTGCCATTGCATATTAAAGGGGTCATATGATGCGATTTCAATTTTTCCTTTCTCTTTGGAGTGTTACAAGCTCTTGGTGCATAAAGAAGATCTGTAAAGTTGCAAAGACTAAAGTCTCAAATCCAAAGAGACATTATTTATAAAAGTTAAGAGTCAACCACGCCTACCTAAAACGGCTCGTTCTAACACACCCCCACATGTCTACGTCACGATGTGGGAAGATTTGCTTAACCCCGCCCAAATGTTCACGCAAAGAAAGAAGGCGTAACTTTTATTCTCGCTGTAGTATTGGTCTTGCCGCAATGTCGTGAAGATGCTGTGTGTTTCGTTGTGAAAGCGAAACTACTTTGTTTGGTCTTCCAAAAGAAGACAAGACTAGAAATCAGTGGTTAAGTTGTAATTACAACACTGTTCCAGAACAGTTCAACCCAAATATTCAGATGTGTGCCTCACTTTTCAGACCGATGAGCTTTGTAAAAATCGACGCGTTTCAGAAAGGCGGGGCATAGAGGAGAAACAATAATGTACAGTATGTGGAAAATAATGTGTTTTTTGAACCTTAAACCGCATAAACACACATTTCATTACACCAAATACACAAAATAATGTTCTTTTTAGCAACATCATATGACTCCTTTAACATAAGATTCAAGTTTAATAACAGCCAGAAAAGCTGACATCCTGTAAGCTCTGAGCCGCTTCCTGTCTCCTGCTGCTCCTCGGCGTATCACTCACCTCGATGTTCTTACAGGCCACGTTCTTCACCACGGCAGGGAAGAGATCTGAGGTGTTCTTCCCCCGGGCGATCATCTGAGGGAAAACACACACAAACAGGGTAACAGTTAGATACTGATGTACAGTACATGGTTTAATTGAAAAAAAACTTAGGACACTTAAAGAGACAGTTCACCCAAAAATTAAAATTCTGTCTATATAACAAATACATTTTCTTTCTTTCTTTTTTTTTTTTGGTTGAATCATGATTGTTATGAACTTTTTATATACATTTTTAAAAATATATATATTTTTTAATTAGTCAATTTTTTACACTTATTTTTTCTTAAAGCAAAACAGCAAAAAAAGTTTGTTTAGATGATAAAGAGGTTCAAAACTAAGACATTCAGAGAAGTATTCAGACATTTTAAGCTAGTCAAATGTTGATTTGATTTTCTTTCTTTTTTAAAATAAATAATACTTTTGTTAATCAAAGATGCATTAAATTAATAAAAAATGACAGTAAAGCCATTTATAATGTTACAAAAGATTTCTATTTCAAATAAATGCTGTTCTTTTGAACTTTCTATTCATAAATGAATCCTGGAAAAATGCATTATGTTTTCCACAAAAAATATAAATCTGCAGCATTGATATGCATGAAATTAGAATATATATATATGTTATTATGTAATATATTATTATATTTATTATATAAAATTAAGTGTTGGGGACCTACTTTAACAGTAACTAGAATGACAAGCTACTTGGTTGAATGGTTAAAGTTACCTATCTGAAAAGGTTGCTAACTACACTGAACACAATTTAGTTTAAGTGTAAATACTGAATCCAAACATTTTACTATCACATAGTCTAACCTACATAATATGCAACCAGTTCAGTGTTATCTAGCACAGAAACAATAAGGATAGCATTCAATTTCATTTTAAAAAAGAGGACATATTAAGACATATTTAATTATTGCATCAGTTTGCAATAACATTACAACCACCAAAATAAATTTGTTGCACTATATTATCACTAGAAATATTTGCTTGCTACTAGAAGAGAACATATTTTTTATTACATGCACTGATGAGCCATTCACAGGAGATGACAAACAACAAATAGGGTGATTTTTGGCTCGGTCCTGAAGGAGTCGTGTACCTGCTGCCGGTGACACCTGTGCTCTGTGAATGGAAACAGTATCAGGTGGCTGTTTGTGGCTTCTGAGCTCCGAGTGATAAATATTTCAGTCCTGATCTGATCCTTCACAATACAGAGACACTAAAACCGCTCATGAATATTAAATGCATTTCGCATATCTGTCCCATTTCCAAAGCGTTTTAGAATCAGACCTGATGCAACAGTTACAAACCGGTGAGAGCCAAGACTTCACAAAACACACAGTGACAGCGGCATTTACTGCCCTCAATTACAGCCTTCTGTCTATTTACACAGTCGCATAATTACCAACATGAATCCAAATATCTCTTCCTGAAATGCTAGACAATCAGGTATCTGACTTATATTTTCGAGTATATATCTGGTTCTGTTCATCTATACAGCTATAAAACTGAACATGCCGGGACTTTATTACCAATGATCCATGAAAACTGAGCTCATATTTCACAGCCCAGCTGTGCATCACACAATGAGACAATGCAAATAGAGAAAATGGGATGAACTTAATTCAAGGGGAAAACAAGTTTGTCTTACCTCATTGGCAGACATTTTCTTGTTTTAAGCAAAAACTCACTTCATTTTGGTTATTGACTTAATATCTTATGTCATTATGCATCACAAATATATGCATGCTGATTTAAGACTGGAAAACAAGACAAACATACTGAATGTGCATGGTTTACTCACCGCTACGATGCGCTTCATGGCCTCCAGCTTCAAGGAGTCTTTATTACTGTCCAGCATCTCCTTCAGGTCATCGTGTCTGAAGATGTAAAACATAAAAGACAGAATTTTATCAACTGTTCTTGTTCTCTCTCCTTTAAATATCTCAGAAAGGTGTCCATTATAAGATGTATCATCCAGACTCATCTCAGTTCTTTAAGAGCCCTGAGGACATTCACGAGTTCAGAAGAACCAACCAGAGCAAATTAAATCAAGCCTTCCTTCAAAGGATTCACACAAATTTGACACACAGAGAATCAAAACAGACAAACACACCCAGAAATACCATCAACAGCATGATTTGGTTTTCATAAGCAGCAGATACTAGCCCAATGGAAGCCACAAACTTCTTTTCTTTTTCATTTGGATGACAATTGTTTCTCCAAGAAATCAATGGCAGTAAATTGTTGTTTCCTGAGAAGAAAACTCTCAAATGCATATCTTTTACAACAAAGTCTTAAACTGTGATACTAGAAGATACGGCAAAGTCAGAGTTCTCAGTATGAAGATCATCAAATTTTTCCAAAATCAAATTACTTGAGCCATACCATCCACATTCATTCATCTCTATAGATGCCAAAAACTGCTGTTTATGATGAATTATAGAAGAAAGATCTGGGAAAAGTTGATACTCGTACATAAACGAGATCTACATTAAGTCTCCTCTGAAAGAGCAAACTTCTAAGCATTTGTTTTCACTGGAAAAATCCCTTTCAAGCAAGTCAGTTCACTTGAATTTCCCTTAAAGTTGTAACAAGTTTGGCATTTAAAAATGGTTTAATTTTATTTCAATCCTTAAAGCAGTTGAATGTATTAAAATCAAATTTTGTATTAATCAATTTTATTTGCAATGTTAAGTTTATAATAAACGAAATAAATTAAAAATTATATGTTTTAATTATATTTATAAATTATAAATTAAATGTTATAAATTGCTATGTTTGCCTACAACAGTTCCTGTAATAAAAAATGGTCTTGTGCACATTTCAAAATAAAAGCTCCCCATATCTCAGTAGAGTATCATAGTACAGTATCATAAATTTAGCTTAATTTAGGTATAAAAAAAAAGTTTTTTTTAGCTGTACAAGTCATAAAATAGAGAGAATGAGAATATCCTTTTGCTTTAGTTTATAAGTACTGCCTGCAAGCATTAGCAATTAGCAAATTCTGGTGTGACGATGTGTCTTTGGTTGTTCCAAAGCTAATAGCTTATTTTCCTTTCCCATCTAATGGTTGCAAAGAAAGTAGCGTAGATTTATTCACTTTAAAAGTGTCTTTTTATCCATAGCATAAGCAATCAAGTCTGATTTTGCCATCCTTTGACTTAAACATAAGCTTTTAGCTATTTTAAAAAAGGAATCAGGCCTTCAAAATGCATAAAATATGTCTCGGTTTCACACAATATGTCAACACATTAAGGAAAACTGGCTTTTCAAAGGGTCTTTAAAGATTGAAGATGGATTTAAGTATTTGTTGATCTAAACTGACTTCATGTTCTCTAGTTGATGTCTGTGACTCCAAACGAACCCAGAGGCACGATAATTAATAAAGCCAATGATCCTCCAGACGTCTGGGACAACCTATTAATATTAGCTCAGATGAGAAAAGATATAAATATTAAGCACTTTCTGCATGTATCTAAATGTAAGAGATCCTCAATTTGAACCACAATGAGTCAAGAGGCGTTTATCTGAGGATCTGCAAATCAGTCACATGACAAGCCAAACTCTTTCTGATTGGCTGTGACACTAAGACCTACATCTGATCCTGGATCAGTCAGCTCGTCAATCTGATACAGATGAGACCGTCTGACATCCTGCCTGCAAGAAAGCCCATAACCCTTCTGTCCATAGATACACATTACTATAGCAACCACATCCTAATGTTAGCAATCTCCTTTTAGAAAGAAGTTGTGAAGGAGAGATGTTGAGTCTCTCGTTTTATCTCTCTCTCATCATTAATCACACTGTCTGGGTTTAAATCAACAAACTGACATCTGTTCACACATACAGACACATTCACACACAAACTAACTAACTGAATGAACACATCTAATAATCAAATATCAAAATTGCCTCAACTATGCTCAGATTCAAAGAGAACTTAATGTGTTTTTTAAATAATAATTCAGTTTAAGTTGAATAATTAAGTTCTTTGATGATGATGATAATTCATGATGATTCATACACAACAGAAAATAGTAACTGAGTTCACAGAATCTAAAACCAGATCTAAATATGCCTCATTTGTGTGTTAAACCTTCTCACTCCTGGATGTAAATGACCCACAACATCAAAATTAAGGTTTTGTTGCTTTAAGAGCTTGGGGTAAGCAAGATTTTATTATTATTATTATTTTAAAGAAAATGTATATTTTTATTGAGCAACAATGCATGAAATTTATCCAAAGTGGCAGTAAAAACATTTATAATGTTACAATACATTTATATTTCATATATAAATGCTGTTCTTTTGAACTTTCTATTCATCAAATTTAAAACAAAAAAAAAATCCTAAAAATATATGTATGACAGTTTTCAGAAAAATATTAAGCAGCACCACTGTTTTCAACATTGATAATAATAAGAAAAGTGTTTCTTGAGCAGCAAATCAGCATATTACAATGATTTCTGAAGGATCATGTGACACTGAAGACTGGAGCAATGATGCTGAAAATTCAGCTTTGGATCACAGAAATGAATTATGTTTTAAAATATATTCAAATAGAACACAGTTATTTTAAATTGTAATAATTTTTCACAATTTTACTGTATTTTTGATTAAATAAACACATTTATTTAAACGCAGAATGTTAGTGTAAAAAGGTGCTGTAATATTTACATCCAATCAATACAATAAGTATTGATACAATAAGCCAATCACTGAATATATTCAAATTTATGCAGAATGGTTATGGGCAAATGTAGTACTATAATATGCAAAATAACTCCTGAATTCCTAAACATTATGTATAATATCTACAGTGATGCAACACTGGATTTCCACTGATGTCATCACAGATCAGAACCCAGATCAATGAAAACATGTCAAGCATTATGACAGGCCTAATCATGTCCCAGCGGGTTCAGAACGAGCCAATCAGAGCGAGTGTGTTCCCTCAAAGCTGTGGCATGAAAATATTAGGAGCTGGCCGAGATAACACAATTCGCTAATTAAAAACATTCCCTCGGTGGCTGTCACGCCACCGTCGCTGGAATTAAACGACTATGATATCTCGCAACACACCCAGGTCCCGCTCTCTGGTTTCCACAGCAACAAAGAGAGCAATAAACTCCAGTGAATAGATTTGCTGCCAGAGTCTCCCACCCAGCACAACTATCAATCGCTCTTGAAAAAAGACTCCCTCGGAGGCTTTCATTAGCTGGAAGGGTCCGCGGAGTTTCACGCCATATAAACACTGTCAAATATTAGTGTGTGTGAGAAGGTGTGGGCGGTGTTTCCTTTCATGCATCAGTGTGTGTGTCCTGTCGTGATGGCTGTGCTAGTCAGCTCCAGTCACCTCACACACACAAATGCACGCGCACACACCTGGTGGGTCGTGATCAGAGCGACGTAAGAGGATGAACACGAGCTCGGTGATTCAGCAAACGTGCTACAGTCAAATACATCACCTCCACATTACAGCAGATTATCTTATGTCATATTCCAGAGAACTGAATGAACTGTAAGTTGTTTTGGATAATAAATGTAGTGGATAAATAGTGTCATACATCAGAGATGAGCTACGGGAAGTCTGTCTCTGTATCACAGTATGAACTGCTGCATGCAGAGGGAATACAAACCTGTAATCACTTTCCCTCCTGACCTGCAGTGGCTGAGCACCAATGCTTTGATTTACATACGGGAGCTTTTAGCAAATTAATTAGTCCGACGATAAATCAGATGCTGGGTATGTTTACAACAATGGGGGGTAGCTATATTTACACTAATGGAAAACTCTTACGCGCAGTCTAAGCTGTTACATAAATATGCATTTATAAAGAAACCAATTTTCTTTAAAAAAAAAATGTGCAAGCTTGAAGCTAAATAATGTCATTTGGTCTTGAAAGAATTTGATTGTAAAAGTGTAAAATTAAATAGTTCATTTAGCTGATAAATGTTTTTTTTTTTTTATTAAAGGTGCTGTATGTAAGTTTTTGACTCTACTAAAGCATAAAAATGCCATAATATGTTTGCAGATATTTAAGAAACATGCTAAGTTAACATACTTGTTTATCTGAAAAACAATGCTACAGTCAGTTATTCTCCTTTGAAAATGAAATGTGCGTTCTGGGCCGGAAAGTCGGTCTCTGTTTTGGTTTGTGAAACCCGCCCACTGCCAGTTTACCCAATTGTATTTCGGCACCCCGGGTTGCCAGTTGGCAGAAAACACAGCGTATTTCATTTCATTCATCGTCAAGTGCGCTGGTTCCTGTTGGTGTCGTCAATCTGGCAACCTTCGTGTGCGTCAAGTCTGAGGAGGAGGGGCCGGGTGAAAAAAACCCTCTCCAATATTTTGAATTTGGACTGCAATACCTAGTTCAACCACTCGGTGGCAATCCTACATACAGCACCTTTAAAATTATTTTAAAAATAATCTTATTGCTCGTTTTATATGTAAAATCCATACACATATATAATGTAATATATATATAATTTACATATAAAATATATATTGCTTTACAATCAGGCTTGCATTATATATATATATATATATATATATATTAGGGCTGCACGATTAATCAAATAGAATTAATATTAATATATATTTTATATATATACTGTATACATATATATATATATATAATATATATACAGAATCGTAGAGAAAAACATAAATACGTAAAATAATTTAAGTTTGAAAATAGACATTTTAGACAAAATAGACATTTAAATCAACATTTTATTTAGTTGTTTATAAAGCTGATAATAAAATTATTACTGTTGATGTTTATAGTTGTAAAACATCTAGCTTAATGTGCAGACATTTGAAGGAAACTCTACCATCCTCTAGAGCACTTGTTACAGTCACAGTTAAAAC